TTTTTTAAAAAATAATATAAAAAAGTTTGTGTGATGTAGTAGCATTTTTTCTGTGTGGCTGTGGCATAATCATGCCCTTGTTTCAGAGAATCTGAGGTGAAAAGTGTTTTTTGGGTTCAAACTTTTCTTGTTGTATACCATTTTGCGCGGTAGAAACTGGATTTTTTTTTTTTTGAATATTAGAGAATTCTAGGGAATGAGGGAATTTTTTTTAAGTTGTCCGTGAAAGTCAAATTTCTAATCAACTTAGACTCAAGCGTTAAGGTTTGGGGGTGGATCATGAGACCTGAAGTCCCGGTTTGCAGTGGAAACTGTGTTTGGTGTTAGAAAGATCCATAATTTTTATCTCTTCCTCTGGTAACCAAGGTTCTTTGTTTTCTTCCACGCCACTCGCTACAGTATGTGTTTGTGTAGAGACAGAGACAGAGAGCAGAGAACTAGAGACTGACTCATCTTTTTTATTTTTATTTTTATTGTATTTTTATTTTATTTTTATTTTATTTTTCTTCATTTTTTTATTAAATTAATATTTTCTCAGTTTTTCGGCCTTGGAAAGGGAAAATATGATTTATGGTGTGGGAAAATATGATTTATGGTGTTAGAAAATCAAATGACTTTTTTCCATGGTTCTATAAAGATTCAACCTAGAAATTATGCCTTCCATTTCTCACTAAAGTAAAATTCAACCTTTTACATTAAATGAATAACACCACAACAAGGATTTACTTAAGAAATTTGTTTTATAATTCCTATCATATTAAATTACAGTCAAAAAGATATATTTGTTAGTGATTATTAAAATGAACCCCTCTTATTTCTCTTAAAATAAATCTCCCTTTATATTTTTAAGTTAAATAAAATTAACTCTCTTGCATTCTAATTGAAATATATTAGTCAAAACTTAACAAATATCATAATTATATGTCATCATTTCATCTTTTCCTTTCAATACTTGTTAAGTTCTTACTAATTAATTTGGCAGTTTTGAGCCTTTAGCCTTTATATATATATATATATATATATATAACATGACATTTTTCTTATATGTAACCAAATGAGATTGGTTAACTCTTTCTTTGCTAGTCAGCTTGATACTAGAAAAAGAAAATGTTTTGTCGCGAACAAAATGGGTCCAAGATTGCTAAATTAACAAATGCTTAAAAGGTATTAAAGAGAAGTTAGAAAGATGATCTAAGATTACATTGTCTATCAGATTTTAGCAAACTTATTCAAGTGAAATATACGAGTACTAATTTCATTCAACTTGAAAGTGTGTGAGAATATTTATATATTAAAAAAAAATATAAGGGTTTATTTCAATAATTATTGAAAACAAAGGGGTAAATATACCCTTTTCGCAAATAAATTACACTGCTTCAGCCTGATTTTCTTTTAGAAAAATCTTATTTATTATATTCGGCTTAAATCTAGTTTATCATTTATCCTACAAAAATAAATGCAATTTTTCATTGAAGGTCTAAAAAAATGGAAATGCAATTCAAGAGATAAATGTTAAAATTCATATGTTGAATCATCAATATTATAATATTTGTAGGATTGTAAGTTAATAATTATATATGATATTAAATGAGATGTAATATAATATTAAGTAAATAAATAAATATAATATAATAAATTAATTTTTAAATAATAAATTAATTATTTCATAATAAATTATATTTTATATTTATAATATTTTATAGTATTATAAATTTGTAATGGGAGCATTTTGTACCACCGACGTTGAAAAGGTCACAAAATTTGGGAAAAAAAAGGAAGGAAAAAATGTCATTAGAAGGTGCTTCAGCTTTCAACTTCCTTTTTATTTCTTTTCAGTCCCTCGTGGTCAACATATTTCTCCTACTCTTCGCGTTCAGGTTCTGCTGTTCTGGTGGGAAATACTGACTCCACGTCTACGAGAGGGGGACAAATTTGTGGATAAAATATTAGGGTTTTCACAGATAGATTCCCGTCACAAATTTTGTGTGGGATTCAGAAATTGGATGATTCAAGCAATTTAATCAGTGATTAGTAAGTGAGTCCTGGGTGTCACTTGATTAATTTGCTAAAATCAGCAAGAGGGATTTTTGGGCGAGTAAACAACGTTCTGATGATTAAGTTTTCTAGCAAATTTGAGGTCGCAGCCTTCAAAGATTTCCACCATTATCATTTCTGAGGCAGATTCAATTTGCCATTTGGATAGCGTCATCATGGTATATATGCTCTTAGACTCTCAAAGTTTCTATCTTTACTGTACATGTTTCTATCTGAAATCAACAAAATGCATTAGCTCAAAGATTGAGCTATGAAAACAATAGAAGAAAATGTGAAATGAACTGAGCTTAATTTCTCTGAAAGCGGGCTATGATTTTTTTCATTCATAGTTTGAAATGCATTGATGACTCCATTTTCACTGAAATACAATTAATTGGTGCCCTACCACCTAACCACTGACTAATATCAGCAAAGGTAATCTCACAATCCTCTACATTATTGTGGCAGGACAAGTTAGGGAGAGACATCTGGGGCTTTTATGTGATCATGTATTTGATTCCAGCCAGGTTTCACACGTCGAGCAGGTATGTCAATTTTCAATTTTAAGTCATTTTTCTTTTTTTGGTATATATGATGTGCTACACAAAAGGGGTAGCCTCTCCTTTTTTTCAAATCCCTCCCCCACTTGATGTTTGAACATGAGATCTCTAATTTAAAATCTCAGACTCTTAAGCAGTTGAACTATCCTTGGGGCTCAATTTGAAGTCATCTTATTCTTCTTCTGTCTAGGAATACTTGAATTGGTATTGTGTGCTTTCATGATCGCCTTTAACATTGAGCATTCAAACATACTGTCATGATCAACTTGCTTTATTATTCCCATTCATACATGTCAATGTCCTTCTTTTATTATTTGATCAACTTGCTTGACTTTTGGTCCCATGCTGTCACGATCGTATTTAACATTTAGAAGCATTCAAGTCAAGTTGCTTCTGTGAATTATGGGGTGGATGGATTCTGATAGATATTTGTGCTTCTGAAAACTTGAAAACAAATGGGAATAATTCTACAAGAGTGCCATTTCAAAAAAAATAATTCTGAGATAGGAGAACATTGAAAAATTATTTTCAAAGAAGTCTTAGAATGTTAAATTGTTCTTCCAAAATTAGTTTTTTTTTAATAATTTTAACTGGTCTAATCAAGTTCCTTACTTATTGACAATAACACAGATGTAAATCTCTGATTGTATATTACTGTTTTTTTTTTTTTTTAAAGGCAAAACAAATTATAATTATTATTAAAGGAGTACAAAGGTACTTCAATCTTTACATCCAAAATACAAATATGCTTCCTTAATCTTGAAATCCCCACATCAACAGATAAGTCTTCCCGTTCTCATCTCACACATCCCAGCTTTAAACTCCTTTTGAAATTACATGCATCCCTTAAACTTCTAGCTGGATTTCTACAAAAGATAACACCTGCAGACCCATCTTTCCTTTTATCCAATGAAAAAATTGCTGTTCTTGTTTTACCTTAAGGTAACTACTGTGGCTTGCGTTTTGTGTTGCGTACCTGCCAAAGTTATGGTCTTAGATATGTGCAAGAGAAATATTAGTAACAACTGTTAATTTGTTGCATTGAAGAATTCCAGGTCACAGTGGGGTGGAGCCATGAACAACCATTAAGGAAAGAGTATCTTAATGATGATTTGGTGTATTGAAGATTGTACCTATTAGATTTTTGAGGTAAGAAGAAGGGGTTGAGAGAGGACTTGGAGGAGAGTAGGCGAAGGGTAGAACTTAGAACATGGTATAGAACATAAACTTGGAAGGGGCAGAGACATTCACCTAACCGGGAGGAGAGGAGAAATTGTTCTCCAACTCTCTCATATTTCCACTAACATGTCTGCCCATTTATAGCAGCAAATTCAACATAAAAACAGTATTTTTCACCTTCTTTCCATGATTTATGGTTACATGTTTCCTACAAAATCTATCCTAACATTTAAATCAAGGATTGCAGGACATAAACTAACATAAAAAAAGTACATTGAAACACTATCACATTGCTACACTTTTGTTGACTAATTTGCCGCCTCCATTTGCATTTCATTTGCATTTGTATTTCAGTTCCTTCCATAACTGCTGCATCTTTCTTTCCACCATTGAAGCAGCTTTATTGCTGCGCATTCTGTCCCATAAATGAGGCTTCTTGCTGCACCATTTTGTTGTTTTGTGGTAGCAACATCACAGCTTAGATGCCACTGTTCCAACGGTACCAGTTCACCGTTACTGTAGATTTAGTATTGTATATATCTTATGCCTGTATATCTGAATTGAAGTCTCTGACGGTTTCAATACAAACCATCCTTGTATATATATGTGTTTGTCTTGAATTTGTACCTAGTAATAATGAGACAGTTGTATTTTTTACTGATGTATACGGGGCTGTTTGTATCTTATATATGCTTGTAAATCTGCATTCAGGTACGTTGATATTTTCAAGGCATGTGGGTTGAACTGGTATGAGCAGTCATGATCATCTTTAACATTTAATAGTCAAGTTATTGTAGGATTTATTATGAGTAGTGATGGTTAACGCTTAAAAAACTTGTGTGATACATGGGCTCAAAAGGGCCAAGCTTTTGCCCTCTTCCTTAGTAGATCAACTGAATATAATTGTCTATAAAAGCTCTTCACTTCCATGAATTTCTACAAGTTCAAAACCAACATATCCAAACAAACCATGGTTTCCTCCTCCACTCATTTCTTTCTTTTAAGCTTGGTTTTCTTGATGATCTCCTTCTTTCAACTATCCTCACATCAGCAACTGTGTCATAAGGATGAGTATCTTGCTCTAATGCAATTCAAAGACAGCTTTGTCATTGAAAGGCAAGCATCTACTTGTCCAAAAGTCGATCTTTGGAAATCTCAAGGGGTTGATTGCTGCTCATGGGAGGGCATATGGTGTGACCAGAACACTTCTCATGTCATAGGCGTTGATCTCAGTAGTAGTTGTCTTTTTGGTTTTATCAATTCCAGTAGCAGCCTCTTTCGCCTTGGACACCTTCAATACCTCAACCTTGCACTCAATGACTTCAATTTCTCTAAGATACCATTTGCAGTGGGCAATCTTTCCAGGTTAACTTATCTCAACCTATCTGGTTCTTTCTTTTCTGGTCAAATTCCACATGAAATTTCAAAACTCTCCAATTTAGCTAAGCTTGACATTTCTTTCAATCTTGATTATTCAAATCAAGGATTGTTGGAAATCAAAAAGCTTGATTTGAACAGCCTAGCTTTAAACTTAACCAAGCTAGAATGGCTTGACCTCTCTTTTGTTGGTATAAATTCTCCAATATCTAAGGCCCTAGCAAATATGTCATCATTGACATATCTCCATTTTGGTCAATGTGGATTATTTGGAAAGTTTCCCACAGACATTTTTCAGCTACCTAAACTTCAAGTCCTTGATTTGGATAACAATTGGGAACTTAGTGGTAGTTTTCCTGAATTTGACTCTCACAATCAACTTAGTGTACTTGATGTTAGAAACACAACCTTTTCCGGTGAGTTACCTATCTCAATAGGAATGCTTAGGTCTTTGGAATATTTAGATGTCAGTAGTTGTAGCTTTTCAGGCTTAGTACCACCTTCAGTGGGTAATCTCACCAAGCTCCAAGTCTTGATCCTTGCAAATAATTCTTTTGTGGGAGAAAAGGTTCCTTTCTTCTCAAACCTTACTCAACTAATTCAAATAGATCTTAGTCTAAATCATTTCACTTTTAATGAGGTCCCTTCTTCTTTTGCTAGCTTGACCCATCTCATGTGGATAAACCTTTATGGTAATCAAATTACCGGTCATTTTCCATCTTGGATTACAAACCTAACAAATTTAAGATATTTGAGTCTCGCGCTTAACATGTTACAAGGATCTCTTCCAAGATCAATTTCTAGACTTAAGAACCTTGAAATATTTGATGTTGGTTACAATAACTTAAGTGGTATTGTTGAGTTTGACACATTTCTTGAACTCAAATTCCTTAAAGATTTGGGTTTATCCTTCAATAATTTCTCATTGGTAATCAAAACTACCACCAATGGAACAATTCCAAAGTTTGAAATGCTAGGTCTTGCTTCTTGTAAACTAAGAGAGTTTCCAAACTTTTTGCGTAACCAGAGTGAGTTGAATGTCCTCCACCTTGCCTTAAACAACATCCAAGGCCAGATACCTGGTTGGATATTGAATATGAGTGCAAGTTTATGGCTTTTAGATCTTTCTCACAACAATTTCACAAGTGTTGAAGAATCCTTTCTTGTTTTTCCTTCTATTAGTCTTTTAATTCTAGACCTTAGTTTTAACTTTCTCAAAGGTTCTCTACCAATCCCGCCACTCTCCATCCTTTCCTACATAGTACCCGGGAATATGTTCAGTGGAGAAATTCCATCTCAATTCTGCAAAATGACTTCTCTTCTAATGCTTGATTTGTCTCACAATAATTTGAGTGGAATGATGCTGCAATGTTTTGGCAACCTCAGCACCATGTTGGTTTTAAACTTGGAAGGAAACAACTTCCATGGTCCTATTCTTGAAACATGGGAAAGTGAAAACAAACTCAAAGTAATTCGAATGGGACAGAATAATTTGCAGGGGAAGTTACCAAGATCACTAGGCAACTGCAAAATGTTGGAGTTTCTTGATCTTGGAAACAACAAGATCAGAGATACTTTCCCTTCTTGGTTGGGAGCTCTTCCTAAATTGAGGATTCTCATTTTGCGTTCAAATAGGCTCTATGGTACAATTTCAATCAAAGTACCAAAGACAAATTTCTTGTTTCCTAAGCTTCACATCATTGACCTTTCAAACAATGGATTTGTTGGCACTTTGCCAGTAGACTTCTTTGCAAGATGGAATGCCATGATTGATCTTGATGGGGAGAATGCAACATATTTGCAGGCATATAACCACCATATCATGGTGAATCATCTTGTCATTCCTTATCTATATCCTTACTCAATGACAATAACAAACAAAGGAAAAAAGATGGAGTATGCAAAGATCTTAGAGGTCTTTAGTGCCATGGATCTTTCTTGCAACAAATTTGAGGGAGAAATTTCAGAAGTAATTGGGAACTTAAAGAGACTTCAACTGCTCAATCTTTCCAATAACGTCCTTATTGGTCCAATCCCAACAAACTTGGGATATCTCACAAATCTTGAAGCACTTGACCTTTCTCAAAACAAGCTCACAGGAAGAATTCCTACACAGCTAACGCAACTCAATTTTCTTGAAGTCTTCAATGTGTCTCACAATCATTTGATGGGACCTATTCCAAAAGGCCAACAGTTTGATACATTTGAAAACAGCTCTTTTGATGGAAATTCAGGACTGTGTGGAATGCCACTGTCAAGGAAATGTGACTACTATAACCCTGAGGATTTGCCTCCAACATATTCAACCTCTAAAGGAAATGAAGACTCTAGATTGTTAGCTGGTTGGAAATTGGTGTTGCTGGGTTATGGATGTGGATTCCTTATCAGTATTGTCATTGGAAACATTGTTTTCACAAAAAAACATGAATGGTTTATGAAGACATTCCGAATCCGGCAGCGAAGAAGGCAAGGGGTGGTGTGTAAAAGATTGAATAGGAGGAAGTAGTGAAGATGATATCGATCCCCATATGCTATCACTTCATTTTCTTGTTTTTTTTTACTCCTACTTCTCTTTGTTTGTGATTACAAGTTCAGTGCAAGTCTAATGTATATATTATGGAGTGGAATTTCAATCTTCATGAACAAGTACATATACTGCTACTTTCAGCAATTGAAGTGGAATACTTATAATTTCCTTTTAGTAAATTCTTTGCTTTCCAAACAGAGAGAAACAGAGAAGATAATTATATTCTAGCCAAAAACAAGAGAGAAGAAAATTATATTCATTAATATGAAAATGCAATTTATTATTAAAAAAGGTGCAATTTGAGACAGGTGATATTTTGGTTGTATATAATTTGTTGTAATTTTTGTTTAAATTTTACAATTCTTCACCTCTTCATCCTACGAGTCCCAACTCTTAACTCCTTTTTTAAAAACTACATGCATCCTTTAAAACTACTTGTAAGTATGGGTCTGAGCTCAATTACATTGGACGCCTTTAACTTAAGCCGTTTGGCCGTTCAATCTAACCATTTCCACAGGCTAGACATGGTCGAGGTTAAATAATCTTCTAATCGAGGTTGAAGTAATCATTTCAACCGATTGTACGACAAGTACGGTGAGGCCATGCCAAGTTGATCTCCTTTCCTGAGATGTTTGCTTTACTAGCCATGTTTATTTGTGAAGTAGTCAACGTAGATATCTCCTTAAGGTCTATAAATACTTTGTAAGGTTCAGTTGCTATAGGTGTTTGAAATCGATTTAAAGTTTTCTTTTTGCTTTCTCTTAAGTAAATCTGATTATTGTTAATTTAAGTATCAGAGTGTTTACTTTGAAATCACCTCAAAGCTTTGCAGGTCAATTTACTTAGAGTACTGAGTGATAAGTTGAATTTATATATATATTAATATGAAATTTTTGCCTTGATATTATTGATATTTGGATGAGTTTTATGAGATTTTACTTAATTTTACTTAATTTTCATTCTTTGTATAGAAAAGGACTTAATTGGAAGAAATCATAAATTTTAAGAGCAAAATGTAGAGATCAGAAACATGATGATTAACTTGTGCAGAATCCAGAAGTTAGGGACCAAGACTGTCATTTTACCATTAATAGAAATTCCTTAGAAGGTCAAAATCCTAGACTCTTCGCGGTGGATACAATGAAGGTGTCAGCACCTTCTCTAGGGTGTGGATAGGTCTTTGTTATTTTTATATGGGTCCCACTTCTATTTTAATTAGGTTTTCTAAAATCCTACAAATACTCATCCAAGTTTAGAATTAAGAGAGCTTTGGCGATACTAGTGGCAGCCCTCTTTTGGGCATTCTTGGAGATCAAGATAGAAGATTTATCAATAGTAGAAAATCAAGAATTTCAACTTTCTCAAATTGGAGTTTGTTTTTCTTTAGATTACTTTTATCTATTGTTTAATATTTTTATATTCATAATTATGATTTCAAGTTTTATTACTTTTATTATGAACTAATTTATTTTATTAGAACTATGATGTAACTTAATCAATTTAATATAAATTTTGTAATTTTTATACTTTCAATTAAAGTTATTCGCATGATGAGTTTATGTTATTGAATTTAATGTGTTGAAAGTTTGGTCATATTTTAATTGATTTAGTGGTTTATACATGAACTTGAGAAATAATTGCATAAATTAGACTAATAATATAAACTGTGTTAGACTATGAGACTGAGAGATAATTAGTGCCACAAGTGATAGTGGAGGAAGAGAAGAGAGTTAAGAGCTTCCTCTTCTTAAGTTAGAGATTTCCACATTACTTAATGCTCATTAGTTTGTTTTAAATTACACATTAGTTTGTTTTAAATTACATAGAAAGATGATTAATTTAACAAATAGATGAAGAATTAACTTCACTTGAGAAAGCTAGTTAATTAATTTAGAGGAATCTGCCATTACATACAATAACACTCAACAAATTAGTTTTGGAAGCATTTTAATCCAAAATTTATATTGATTGGTTACGGTGAAATTGATGCCTTATCTTATATCTTGATTAGTTTTATTTTAATTGTTATTTACTTTTTCTTATTTTTAATTAAAGTTTCTTCTTTTTTGATTGTTCAAATAAATTTAGATTAACTATTTTTAGTGCTTAGTTAATCACAATTCTCATCATTATATTATTTCAAGCGAGTAATACATTTGTTAGGTATCTACGCTTTTCAATGGTTGGTTCAAGTCCTCTTTAGATGAGCTGCAACTTAGATGTTTGCTACTTCTTGGTTTGCAATTGAGCCTTCTTCCTTATCAGCTGCACTTATTTGAATATAACAAAAGAAGTAATTTCAGCATATTCTCTTCTAAATTTCTCTAACAAACAAAAAGAACATAAAAAATTTTCATCTACTTTTCACCTTAATGTTGGTAAGATCCGTGTTGTTCTTTGCAAGAAATGAAGTAAAGTACTTGAAATTTTCTGGTGTTGGTTGATAGTGACCACTGTGAGACTAAACTACCTAGTGAAAGTAACCAAAAAAAAAAAAAAAATCATTAGGAAACTTTTTCAACAAAAGAAAAGCACTAAAGTAGTGAATTAAACCAAGTAAGTGAGATATGTTATGGCAGCTACCATGTTAATGGCAGCTACTATGTTAATGACAACACCTTTAGAATTCCATCTTCAACAACTAATCTTCCAACTACAATTGTGGCTCCTCCAGCCAGGAAGCTCGAGTGTTGAAATGTGCCTTTCTTCTTCTGGCTAACATACAAGGTCTTTGATGTGCTAAGAACAAATATCCACTTAGCATTGCCAGTGGAGTGAAGGAGCTTCCCTATTTGCTTGAATAAGAGCTTTCCATCAACCACAATGACTTCATAGGCTACCCTCTCCATCTGTAAGGTGGAAGAAATGTTACAAAAAGGAAGTGTGACTACCATAACTCTGAGGTATTGCCTCCAACATCTTCAACCTCTAAAGAAAATGGAGACTCTAGATTGTTAGCCAAATCTACTTGGAAGTTAGAGTTGTTGGGTTATATATGGATGTGGAATTCTTGTCGGTGTGATCATTGGATGCACTATTTTTACAAGAATACATGAATGGTTTATGAAGACTTTCCGAATTAGGCAGCCGAAAGGCAAAGGAAGGGGTGTGAAAGATTGAATAGAAGGATGCAGTGAAGATGATATCTATCTGCTAGTGCTATTATTTCCTTATATATTTATTTTTCCTTCTTTTCTCCGTATGTTTGGATTACATTCAAGTTCAATGCAAGAGTAATGTACAGTAACATGGAGTGGAACTGCATGAATAAGTTACACTAGTACTTCAACAAGTGATGTATCAGCTTTTGAATTTGCACGCTTGAAGCTTCTCTTCCTATTCCACCATTGAACGTCATCTTCTATTTGGCTACAAAATATAGATTCAAAGGCCAAATCCCACCTCAAATATGCAATTTGATTTCTTTCCTAGTTTTTTATCATTCTCACAGTAATTTGAGTGGAACAATCCCTTAATGTTTGGGGAACTCTAGCATGTCTTTGACAATCATTAACCTGCTATATAATGCTGGAGTTTCTTGATATTGGTAACAACCAAATTAAAGACACTTCCCCTTCTTGGTTAGGAACTCTTCCTAAATTAAAGATTCTCGTCTTACCTTACAAGGGGTTCTATAGTGCAATTGCAATTTGCAATTAGGAATCAGGATATGGAATGGAATGATTCAAGCAATTTAGTTGGAGATTAGTGAGTGATTCTTTAGTGTGGCTTGATTAATTCACTGAAATTAGTAAAAGGGATTTTTGGGTGAATAAACATTATCCTGATGATTAAGTTTTCTAGCAAATTTGGGGGCAGCAGGTATCAAAGATTTAGTGTAAGAACAACTTATGGTATGGAATATAATTTGAATTTAAATGAGTAAATTACACTTACTTCACCAGTTGCTTTCCATTGAGAAATTTTTACTTCTTGTGTCCTTTATACTACAAAAATAAATTCATTTTATAGTTAAAGAAAACGGAATGTGAGAGATACATCATTCGTAAATGTGAAATTCAGATGTTGAAAATGTAACAAAATTTGGAGAGAAAAAGGAAAATAGGGAGAACATGTCAGTGGTGTTGGAAATATTATTGGAAATGTGGTATTCAAACCTGCAAAATGATGAAATAAAACTGCTATGAAATGGTAGCAATGAGGTTAAAAATTGACAGCAAATGAGTTGCAATTTGACAGCAAATATGGCAACAATTTTAGCTACAAAAATGATGGAAGTGAAGCCTTCAAATGGCACCAAAAATATGTAGCAAGCTAAGCTACAAATGTTGATGAAATGAAGTTGTAATAAACAGTAAATGAAATACAAATGCAAAAGGAATACAAATGCAAATGAAATGAAAGGTTGCAAAGTGGCTGCAGAGTCATAGCAACATGGAACCGCACAAAATGGCAGCAAATCTTTTCAATGTAATCTTGCTCTAAATGTTTGATAGATTTTCTTGTATTAGGTAAAATATTAGGTGTCAAAAACTATTTTATGTTGTGTTGTTTCTGCTATAAATAATATCAATGAAATTTCTAAGTGTTATACTCCTCTCCATTTTAGTTAGGTTCTGCTCTTCATCTTCCTCCTGATTTTCTCTCCATTTCTTTGTGAAAAAAATCAATATGGTATCAAAGCCTTTCATGATCTTTGAGGGCTTGTGTGAGAGTGATTTGAGGGAAATCTACCACCACAAATTCTGGTCAAACCCAAATGTTTTCCAGCAAGTTTTTCCTTTCAAAACACCCCCCCTTTTTTTTTTGTAACCATAGCAAACTCCTTTGACCAAAAATGCAGTAAAGATGCTGTGATTTTGTGAAGGTTAACTTTAGGTCCTTCAATCTTTGAAAGTGGTTGACAAAAAGATGCAACTAAGTTGTTAAGGCAAAAGAGAGTATGTGAAACTATGAAGTTGAAGGTTAACTTAATGTCCTTCAACCTTATTGAGGCGAAAGATTTGCAAGAAGCATCATGCAAAAGATGTGGTGTTTTATGTTGCTGGTATGGGTGGTGTTTTTATGCTACAACATTAGTACAAAAATGCAAGGATGGCTTGTGAAGGTGCAAGTTGGGACCGAGAGAGTACTCAACATTGCATCAAGTCATTTTCATGACCGAGTAGCCAAATCTTTAGCCCAAGGAAGTTATAGAAGATGAAAAAGATGATGAAGCAATACCTTGAGGTATCAAAATCCTTGTTTTATTTAGTTAGAAAATGCAACCTAGTTTCAGAATCTCCAACATTTGTTTGGGGTAACAAATTCCCAAGGAAGGAAAGCTACAATGAAGGAGGAGTTGAGGTTGTTTTTGAAGGGTGGTACGTGGTTGTGAAGAAAATATGAAAATTAAGTACAAGATGGATAACAAAGGGCTGATCCGAGGTGCTTAGGTACAAATCTGTTTTTGTTTTATTATTATTATTATTATTATTATTTTGTAGCTTTGATGCCAGGGAGGAGCGTCGGAAATATTATTAGAATTGTGGCATTCAAACTTGCAAAATGATGAAATGAAAATGCTATGAAATGGTAGCAATGAGGTTGAAAATTGACAGCAAATGAGGTTGCAATTTGACAACAAATATGGCAGCAATTTAGTTGCAAATATGATGGAAACGGAGCTTTCAAATGACAGCAAAAATGTGTAGCAAACTAAGCTACAAATGTTGATGAAATGAAGCTATGATAAATAGTAAATGAAATGCAAATGCAAAACGAATACAAATGCAAATGAAATGAAAGGCTGCAAAGTGGCTGCAGAGTCACAACAACATGGAGCCACACAAAATGGCAGCAAATCTTTTGAATGTAATCTTGCTTTAAATGTTTGATAGATATTTTTGTGTTAGGTAAAATATTAGGTGAGAAAAGTTGTTTTATGTTGTGTTGTTTCTGCTATAAATAGCATAATATCAATGAAACTTCTAGAGTTTGAATGTTATACTCCTCTCCATTTTAGTTGGGTTCTGCTCTTTATCTTTCTCCTCCTCATATTACTCCTGATTTTCTCCCCATTTCTTTGTGAAAAAATCAACAAGTAGAAGTTATTTCAGCCTTGGACCTAATATTATTTTGTTCACCCAGCATCTAAGGGCAGGGTTATGGCTATTACTAAGAGTGTTAAGACATTGAAAATTGTAAAATATATCTTGAAAAATTTTGATTTTGTTTAATATAATTAATAAAAATAATTAATAATTATAATTATTAATTAATGATTGAGAATAATTGATAAAAATTAATAATTAATTAATTAAAATCAATTAATAAAACAATATTTTTAGAGACTATTTAAAAAAAAAATTATTAATATTAACACTTTTTATAATGAGAATAATCACACTCAACTTCAAACCTTACTATTTTGGTCCCCAACTTGCTTACATTCGAGTCCCTCATCTTTAACGTATTTCTTCAACTTGCTCAGGTCCAACTGTTCTGCTGGTTGCTAACTCGACACACAAGACACCAAAATCGTTTTTGTGGGAAATATTGAGGATAAATTTGGGGATAAAATAAGGATTTTCATGGACTGATTGTGCGACAAATTTTGTATGGGATTTAGAACTTGGAGTGATTCAAGCAATTTAAGTAGTGATTAGTAAGTGATTCCTATGTGTCGCTTGATTAATTAGCTGAAATTGGCAAAGGGGATCTTTGGGTAAATAAACAATGTCTTGATGATTAAATTTTCTAGCAAATTTGGGGTCACAAGCATCAAAGATCTCCACCATTATCATTTATGAAGCAGATTTAGTTTGCCATTTGGATAATGTCATCCTGGTATGCTCTTAGACTCTCAAAGTTTCTATCTTTACTGCATATGTTTGAGACAAAATGCATTAGCTCAAAGATTGACCTATGAAAACATTGGAAGACAATGTGAAATGAACTGAGCTTTCTCTGTATGTGGGCTTTGATTTTCATTTGTTCATAGTTTGAAATACATTGATGACTCCATTTTCATGAAAGCACATTAATTGGTGCCCTACCACCTTACCATGACTAATATCACCAAAGGTAATCTCACAATCTTCCACATTGTTGTGGTAGGAGAAGTTAGGAAGGAACATCTATGGCTTTGACCTGATCATGTATTTGATTCCATGCTTCCTTCATCGAGCAGGTATGTCAATTTTCAACTTTCAGTTTTCAAGTCATCTTTTTTTGTCTAGGAATTTTTGAATTGTGTGCTATCATGATCACCTTTAACATTTAGCACTCAAACGTACTTATATTGCTTATTGAGTTTATATAAGTTAAAAGCTATCAAAGAATGTATTAGCTTTGAAAAAATGGCCCGAATTAGTTAGATGGATTAGTTATGGGGTGGTTTGTCCTTACCTTTTAGTTGATGGGTGGATTTGTCTATATATGGGGGCAAGTTTGGGTTTTCCACTTTTCCAAATATTTTGAACATATATAATATGAATACAATTTTGTGTATAAAAGCTCTCCACTCAGCATCACTTGCATTAATTTCCATGAGTTCGAAACCAACATACCCAAAGAAATCATGGCTTCATCCATAACTTGCTTCTTTCACATTGTAATATCCCAAAATTTTCTAAAATTTTAGAACTTAAGATAGGAACTTATGTGGTAGAGATTAGTATTTTGGGTCAAATAGTTAAAATTCACAAAACCTAAGGGGGGGTTAAAAGTGAAATATGGTATTTAAAAAGGGGCTGAGGCTGTTTTCCTTTTTCCCCAGCCCATTTCTGCGTTGTCTTCCTCAATCCCCACCCAAAGCTTACCTCCCCAAACCCTTGCCTACGCCCAGCACATTCTTGCTTGAAAAACAAGGTGAGATTCAATTCTTCTTCTTCCTCCCAAGTTTGATTTAGTGATTTATGAGCTTATAGTTCCAAAATTTTGATCAAAATTCCAGATCTAGTTGCTGATACCTTCCAAATCTGCTGGTCTGTGTTGGGTTGCTGTCCATGGTAAGAAATCAGCCTTTAACATGGCTAAATATATAGCCATTATGAGACTTGATAGTCACTTGATTCAATTTTCATATATAATCTTATAAGCATAAAAAAGAGGCATCAAAATTAACAAGTCATGCTCATGCAACCTTTCATTAATGAAACGTGATCAGGTTCATTAGCCTCTTATATTTCCACAAGTCTCATGTCAAAAACAGCAAGCATGTGTAACACATGTATAAAGCTCAATGATTGTAATTAGAACTGTCATATACATAAACATGCTTATAACATAATCCAAGTAAAGGAAATCTCATTTACTCTAATAAGCTTTAAACAAACTCTAATAAGATCATGTCTAGAAGTAAGATATACCACTTAAACTCTATAAAGTTTTATAAGTAGTCACTACAAAACAAATATATTACCAAAACTCAATGAATTAATAAGCAAATGAAACCACTACTAAATAAATAATCATTACTAAATGAGAAGAAAAACAAAATTTCATTTGTATCAAATTAGTAATCCCAAAACCAAGGGGCAATCACGCACTCAAAACATGATCATATTCAAATTCATAAAGAGAATTTTGTATCTTATATCTTCCTTCTCACAGCTAAGAACCATGCCATCAAGTCTGAGATTTATTTAATCTCCAAATGGGATTTAAAGACCCATTTTATTTCTCTGGCCTCATTGTGCCAAATGACTTTTAATTATGAATCTATGCAGTCATTTGTATTTTTGTTAACTTCTTTTGAAGTCATTCTCTTGGAGATGTTTTCTTCTCATTTATAATTAATTAGACATTTTCAAGAGAACTATCACACATGCATGAACAACCCATGATGTAAATGATGCATGTGCCAAAACTCAAAAAAATTCATGACTCAAGAAACTATAATATCAAATTCTTATTATTTATAAAATAAGCAAATATGCATTATTTTAATGTAAATGGTTCAAATCGTATAAATATGATTTAAACCAAAGTCGTACTTTCAAAGTTCTGTCTTATCATTTCATATTTCAGAATGTATTATTTTATTCTATCATTTTATTGGTCCCCGTACCTGTTTCGATCTTGCAGTGGATCTTGATTCATCTACATTTCATGTCCTCTTTGGACTTGGAAAATTCGATTGCTTCCTTGATGAACAGAATCATGTCTCCATTGTTTCATTTTTCATGAAAATTGATTTCCTTTGCTTTATCATCAAGCGTGGAGCATCCTCCATTAAAACATCAACACTTTGGTTGTCATTGTAGATGGAATCAGGTGGAATCTTTTGTCCTTTATATTGCTTTTGCATCTAGTGATTGTTTAATCTGTTAGAATCATCATTAATTGATCATTGATCGAACACACAATTGCTTATGATTGATTTTATATACGGTCATTGATCAACTCTCCATCACTTAGCGATTATCCATCACATGATTGTGATGATCGACTAAATTTCCATTTTTTGCACACAGACTAATCACTCCAGAAATCCTTTTTATTTTGCCACTGTTGCACGTCAAATCTCTTTGGCTTCACAAGCGTTTTGTAACACAAGTTTCTTTTCAATTGTCTAGAAAGCCATGATCTCAGAAATTCAAAAATAGCTTAAAGATTTTTGGATCTAGGGGGTTAAAAAATAGATCATTGGCTTTAAGGCATGTTGCAAATGCCACTTTCCTCTTACTATTTTCACCCCCACCATTTTGGTATGCAAAGAAATTAATTGAAAATGCCTGTAGGATACAATGAAGCCCTATTCATTGCGCCTTGCACTAACGAAACCAACAACTAAATCCCATTTCTTCAAGTGGCAAAACTATCACTTTCATATGAGGATTTCTGCAGCAATTATTGCACAAAAGAGGACTATTTTATAGTGAAAAACAGCAGGATATTGTATGTATTATCTAACTTGGAATCACTATATTAAGAGGATGAAAACAAGGCTTTTATAGGTTATAGGAGTCTGTTGATAAAAGACACCTCCTTACGGATAAGTTTCTTCAATGTGAAGAGTTTTAACATGAAAAGACACCTCTTCATTTATGCCCTTTCCTAGCCATTGTCTTCTTCCCTCTATTTTGAAAATTTCTCCAACAATGGACTGTCTCTTTATGGTTAACATTTCAAATTGCCTTTTCAGTGTAAGCAAGTTGTTGTCTTTCACTTTGTTGTCACCTTCAATCTCCTTTTGAAGAGTATCCCAAGCACTTTTTGCTGTTTCTGTCCTCATGATCCTCGAAAAATTGAGTCTGGTATTCCACTATGGATGTATGAAAGGGCTTTGTGGGAGGCTTGAACATAATCTGCATATGTTGCTTCAACTGTACTACTGTTGGATTGTTTGGTAGCCAGGGAGGATTAAATATATTTTCTACTGAGTCCCACACACTGTTGCCTCCTAGGAATGCCTTCATTTTGATGGCCCACATGTTGTAGTTCTGGCCTGTGAACAGAGGAGGATTGGAAAGAGATCCTGTTGATGTATTGTTTGTAGTCATGGCTGTGTTTCATTGCTAGCACAGCTTCTCTCCCTCGCGTACTCTCTTGTTTACTCTCTCTCACACACGCCTGTCATAGGTCCCTCAAGAAATGAAGCTCTGATACCAATTGATGAATTTTTAGCTGAAGGTTAAAGAACAAGAACTCAAATTATGAAAATACACGTCTGCATTTTCGTTTTTCCAGCCGTTTCTCTCTTTCATTTCTTCTTGTGATTTTTCATACAAGCACAGCTTAGATGAAAAGAGGGATTACATTGCTTAGTTTCCCCTCAATGGTACAGAGAATTACATTTAACACGTTTGATGGAGAGTTGAGATTATCTGCACCATTTTCTTCAAATTGCAGTTTGTAATGTGAGCATCAAATCTCAACCCCCAACCAACTATTAAAGACACAAGCACACCTACCACATTAATTGAGGAGAGTTACAATGCAAAACAACATTTTTAACAATTGGTGTGGTCATTGGAAACGCTGTTTACAAAAGAAGACATGAATGGTTCATGAAGGCTTTTCAAATCAGGTAGTAGAGAAGGCAAATAAGGTGTGAAAGATTGAATATAGGAGAATGTAGTGACTATGAGATATATCTGCCCGTGCTAATATTTCATTTTTATGTTTCTTTTTTCTTCTGGTCTCTGTTTGTGTGGATTACAAGTCGAGTTTAAGACCAATGTATAGTATCAAGTTCAGTGCATGACCAATATAGTATAGAATGTAATGTAAATCTGCTTGAATTGATCCAGGCATGATTATTTCGCTGGATAGAGGAAAATACCAGAGTTTAGGCTTTGATTTTGTTAGCTGGTGTCCATTGCCATCTTATTGTGCAGAGGAAATACCGAGGGCGTGTTTGATGTCAGTGGAAGTGTGTCGGGGTTTTTGTGGAAAGGGTGGAGAGAGGACTTGGAGAAGGAGAGAGACACCCGGAGTTACCTCATTTGGTGAGGTCAGAATCCATTTTCTGCATTCATCTTCTGTCATGATAGAGTAGAAATCTCATCTCATGATACATAAACAGTAATTTCTACCGAATACAATAACTTCTACCTAACATATTGACCAAGATGTAGAATTTTGCTGCCATTTTGTGCAGCTCCAAGTTGCTGTAATTTGCTGCTACCGTGCTGTTCGTGCAGCTTTACCTTCTTTTTATTGGCCGCCACTGCTGCAGCTTTGACACCACAACTCCAACAAAGTGCATTAGTATGAAGTGTTTTGTAAGTGTTGTCTGCTGGGAATCTCTTGTGGACTCAGACGTCTTTTGAGATTGGTTTAAATGTATATGCGTTGGGGTACTGCTTGTGTCCCGTTTAATAATTAAAATTCATCTGTCTATTAAAAAAAAAAATCTGCTTGAATATATTCATTATATATTCATTAATGTGAAAATGTAACTTATCATAAAAAAATGCAATTTGAGAATGGTGTGAAGCTTTGTTGGAGGCATGTAAATTTTTGGTCGTACATGCATAATTTGTTCTACCATTTTTTTTTTTTTTTAAAAAAAAACAAATGTACAGAAGACCATGCAAGACAGGGAGAAACATACTTCATTGCAGGTCTCCCACACGGCCCCACCTACGTCAGGTATGTCAATGTTTTGTTTTATTATTTGATCAACTTGCTTGACTTTTGGTCCCTTGCTGTCATGATCGTATCTTAGAAGCATTCAAGTCAAGCTGCTTACGATAATGATGGGGTGGTTGGATTCTGATAGATAATTTTGTCGTGATATTGTTGATATTTTCGTCAACTGGCCTAATCAAGTTTCCCACTCATATTGACAATAATGCAAATGTAAATCTTTGATTGTATATTATTAATTTTTTTAAGGCAAAACAAATTATAATTATTATTAAAGGAGTATAAAGTACTCCAATCATTACATCAAAATTACAAATATGCTTCCTTAATCTCGAAATCCTCAAATCAACAGACAATTCTTCCCCTTATCATCCTACCCATCCTTTTGTCCAATGAAAAAATTGCTGTTCTTGTTTTAATTAACTTAAGGTAGCTACTGTGGCTTGCATTTTGTGTTACATACCCGCCAAAGTTATGGTCTTAGCTAGAGAAATATTAGTAACAAAGGTTAATTTGTTGCGTTGAAGAATCCCAGGTCACAGTGGGGTGAAGCTATAGACAACTATTAAGGAAAGAGTACCTTCATGATGAGTTGGTGTATTGAAGATTGTACCAGTCTGCCTTTACTCTAGGTTTGGTATTGTATATATCTTATGCTTGTAAATCAGTATTAAAGTCTCTGACGGTTTCAACACAAACCATCCCTGTATATACGTGTATATGTGTGTGTTTGTGTCTTGAATTTGTACCTAGCAATAATGAGACACTTGTATATTTTACTAATGTATAAGTTTGTATCTTATATATGCTTGTAAATCTATGTTCAGGTATGTTGATATCTCAAGGCATCTGGGTTGAATTGGTATGAGTAGTCATGATCATCTTTAACATTTAATGGTCAATTTATTATAGGATTTATTATGAATAGTGATGGTTAACACTTAAAAAAACCTATGTGATACGCGGGTAGAAAAGGCCAAAACTTGCGCGCTCTTCCTTAGCAGATAAACTGAATATAATTGTCGCTCTTCACTGTCACGAATTTCTACAAGTTCAAAACCAACATATCCAAACAAACCATGGCTTCTTCCTCCACTCATGTCTTTCTTTTAAGCTTGGCTTTCTTGATGATCTTCTTTCAACTATCCTTACATCAGCATTCTTCAAATAGGAGCGATAGGCCTAACCAACAATCTCTGGCACACACCACACGGCCGATGGCAAGCAACCCCTCAAACAGAAGAAAACTTGCTTACCGCCCATGTTCCCACAACCCTTCACAACCCTCAACCTCCTACCCTCCATTGGAACAATCCAATAAGGGACAGGATGACACAAACCAATGAATCCGCAACACGAAAGTACGGAAAGCTATTCTTCCACAGCCTCTAAGAATCGTAGCTGCCATAGGGTTTTTTTATCCAATGTTAAATTCTATCATAGTATTAGTTTATATTTAGCTTAATTCTAGTATATCCTTTACCCTACAAAAATAAATGCAATTTATCATTAAAAAAATGAAAAGTGAGAGATCCATTTAAAATTCAGGTTTTGAAAAAGGTAACACAATTTGAAGAGGAAAAGAACAAAACAAGGAAGAAAATGTCATTAAAAGGTCCTTCAACTTTGGACCTAATATTATTTTGTTCACCCAACTTCTAACCTTACCATTTTGGTCCCCAACTTCCTTATTTTTCAGTCCCTTGTCATTACATATTTCTCCAGTCGGTTCAGGTTTGGGTTCGGTTGTTCTGGCTGCTAACACAAACACATGAGATAGCCAAAGCGTTTTGGTGCGAAAAACTAAGGATAAATTTGGGAATAAAAATTAGGGGTTTCATAGATAGATTATGTGACAATTTTGTGTGGGATTTAAAAATTGGAGCGATACAAGTAATTTAATCAATGATAAGTGATATCTATGTGTCCCTTGATTAATTTGTTGAAAGCAGTAAGAATGATTTTTAGGTGAATAAACAACGTCCTCACCATTAAGCTTTTAGCAAATTTGGGGTCGCAACCATCAAAGATTTCCATCATTATCATTTATGAGCCAAATTCATGAGCTCAAAGATTAGCTCTAAAAAAAATGGAAGACAATGTGAAATGAGTTGAGCTTTCTCCATGTTTGGGGATCACTAGAAGAAAAGGAGTTTTTAGTGACAAAATTTTGTGACGAACTTTGAAATTGTTACTATAACTCAATACAACTGTGACAAATTTTAAAAATTAATCATAGATACATGTATATTCAATGATGATAAAAAAAAATTCATCACTAAAAAGCAATTTTGCCTCTAAAAAATGATCACAAAGAAAAAATAAGTTTTTAATGATAAATTCATCACTACAACTTGTCACAATTAATATAGATTTCAAATATTAATCGCATACATGTTTAATGATGACCACAATCATTAAAAATATATTTTGTTATTAAAAAACTATCACATAGAGAATACATGCTTGTCATTATGAAAATCAAAACTACAACTCATCACAATTTTAACAAATTTCAAATTTTGGTCACAAAGACCCACATGTTCAATAATAACCAAAAAATTTGTCATTAAAATGATATTTTGTCACTGAAAAATGGTCATAGATGAAATATAAGCTTTTAATGATAAAATTTGTCACTAAAACTCATCACAAAGCTATAATGTTACCTAAATAAATGTGCAACAAATAATATACATGATAAAAATTGAGATTTTTTTGCCAAAGATATTGAAAGAGTGGGAAAAAATTGGGTATGGTAATAGGAAAATCAAATTGTTTTTAGAAGGATTTGAATGGATAATAACTTAAGTTTTTAGAACTTAAGTTAAAATATTTTAAAAGTTTAAGGACTACATGAAAATAATAAAAGTTATAATCCATAGTTATTAAAGAATAAATTAAAAATTTTAGGATCAAAGTGTTCATAAAGGAAAGGATTAAGCATTTGATCTACTATTTACCATTAT